GCAAGTACTTTAGGTTGTTACCTATAATCTTGCAGTTCGTGGACAGGTACATATCAAAGATCAAAGCACTCGAGAACTGTATGTGGTATGCGGCATTGCAAGCGTGAGTCGACTCGCTTCCAACGATTCGTCCAGATGCCGTCCACTGCACCAATGTGTTCCAAGTGATGCGTAGTGTTTCGTCCTGTCTGTTTGTGTTCTCGAAGCGAGCACGGTGGTTCAGGTACCATCGGATCCTTTCCAAGCCTGTCCTGAAAGAGCTCCTGAGCAGTCGGAGTAATTGGTGAGCCCCACCTGGTCACAGCCGGCCCTTCAAGCGCCACTTTCCCAGTGACAAGTGAGGGCTCAACACATGCGAGAGACAAGCACTCGAATGTGGCACAGAGGCAAGCCGGAAATGACCCCAGAACCACAAAACCCTACACCGTCAGCAGGTACCCTTATCATAGCACCTTCTTACAGCACCCTTATAGTACCCGTACCATCCCACCTTCACTGCAAAAGCCGTATAGGAATAGTAACCTTATAGAGGACTTCTGGTTTGATAATGGCGACTCTCCAAAGCCCCCTAAGATAATAATGAGATTAATAAAAATAGTAAGAATAATAAGAACAAAATAATAATATAATAATAATAATAATATAATAATAATAATAATGCTCATCATAGGGGTAAGAATACTAATAAGATCAACAATAATAGTAATGCTTATAATCATGACAATTTATATTGGTAATAATAATGACAATAATGGCAACAATAACAACAATAGTACTAACAAATTTTCACGGACAATAATAAAAGCGCTAATGATAGTAGTAATAACAAGAAGAATAAGAATAATACCCTAAACCCAAAACCCTCCTCGCCTTACGGGACAGGGCTTCTACCTCGGCGCTGCGCGCCTGCGGGGCGAGACGCCGGCTGGGTTTAGGGCTGTTTTCAGGGGTTCTATACGGGTGCTGCGGTTTAGGGCTTTGGGTTTGGGCCGGTTTGGGCTTTTTCAGCCGACATAATTAGAGGCTTGAGGGTTTGCAAGTGAGGTCGTTAGGTGTTGGCTTTAAGGCTTTCAATTTTTTTAAGAGCTATGTAGAACCATAATATAAATATTTAGGGCTTAGGGTTTAGGGCCAAGTGTTATTATTTCTAGTATGGTTCGAAAAAGCCCTTTGCTATGACCCCTAATATACCCTGCTACAAAGTGGGGGCAGTACCGAAGTTTAATTTAGTTGTCCAGTACCCTAAGGGAACGAAAGGTTAACCTTTGGGATTTTCTAGGGTTTATGGTATCCGAGAAGGGTTAACGGCCACCTACTCTACTACTACCTGTGGCCCAAAAGCCAACCTTGTGGTTGTATATAGAACCATCATCAGGAACCCTGATAAGGTAGTTTTTTTCGGCCACAGGAAGTTTTAAAAGATGCCAATACCCCCAAGACCCAAAACCCTAAACCCCTGAACCCTTCTAGGGTCAAGGGTTTAGAGAGGGGTTCATTCAATCCTTCTATAGAGGCCTTAATTGTTAGAAGAGGTCGTTGGGGTGCCTTATACCATAAGTATATTAAGGAGCCACCGAAATAGTGTAGGTAACAAATAAAGTCCTAAACCCTAAAGCCTAAACCCTAAACCCCTAAACCCTAAACCCTTACCTTACCTGCCTCCACCCCACCTTCTCAAGCCCCCGACGAAAGCAAGAAGCAGCCTGAAAGGTGCTCAGCTGGACAGCCTCTGTTCCTGGCCTTGGCTTCGGAGGTTTAGAGTTTTGGGCTTTAGGGTTTAGGGGTTTAGGGGCTTGGAAGTTTAGGGTTCTAGAGTTTGGGGTTTTAGGGCTTTTGGGGTTTGGGGTT